GATGGTGAATAGGAGATAGCAAAAAAATTTCTGCAGAGTAACTCGTGGATCTCTAGGGTGAAATATTTACTGGATTCTTTGCATGTCTCTGTTGAGACTCACTTATAATCTAAGGTGACAAATATTGCTAAATGGACAGGTTTGGGAATGATTCATCATCTGTTAGAAATAAGATATTTCAATTTGCCAAGTCTCAAGACACAATATTATTTCAGAGGCATGATATTTTCTGTCTGATTATATCACATTATTATTCAAGCAAATAAAAACTTTCCATCAGGCTGTAATGGAAACTCCCAGGGTTCCGGACTGAGTTTCTCACATTTTTTTTTTGTTCTCTTGCCACACCGAGCCAGCTGCATACTCCTTTTTCAGGTTAAGTTCCACTCACTGCAGGACTGCGCTATTGGATCCTGTCTCAGAACTCTGGTAACCTGGCATATGTCTCTCCACCAAGCATGACTCGTCCAATGCATTTCAGGATATGGAAGTACAAAAGTATGGAGCTGGCTAAGCATTAAGGACACAAGGGGTTTTTTATTTTTAGGTGTTTTCACTTTCAGGAGCTGATTACAATTTAAAATATTGAAGTCATGATTCTAAGCATTAACTGAGCAAGAGTTGAGGGAAGAAGCTGCTCTACAGTATCTTCTTTTGTTACTGTGTATAAATGTATTTATTTCTGCATTTTGTACTCACATCTTTTGAAATCCTGGTATAACTCTCCTATTCTATTTTTGTTTTCCTATGACTGGACAGAATCTTTCAGAAAAGCTATTCTATTTTTACAGAGAAATCCTGCGCTTGACTGACTTCAGTGAAGTAACAAGTTCAGAGCCATTCACAATCGGTGCATATAGACAGGCAGAAGCCTATCCTTTTTGTCATCTTTACAGTTTTTAAAATTGTATTCCTTTTCAGAAATATTTCCAGCCTTTTTTGTTGTGTTTTCATTCCTGTTTGCATCAACATTTTTACGCAGGCACTCACAGGAATACCGGCAATACAGATATAAAACTTAAATATAGATTGTATTACTGGAAACTTCCTTTCAGGTAAAATAGGGAGCTAGATACTATTTGCATTTGTTGACTGATAACAGCTGACTGGTAACAGAAATATAGAAGGAAAAGTATATTTATATCAATATCCTTCTTACTCAAAGATACTCTCAAAGTTTATTCATATAAACATTTGACAACTGTCAGGCTTTCTCAGCTCTATTGAATTTGGGGTATCAGATTCAGGATGCTGTCCCAGATATGGTACTGTTAGTTGGAAGCATTCAGCTACGCACACTGTCTGTTGAGTGAACGAGAGACATAAATGGAAAACATAAAGCATTATCTACCATATCTGTTCCATTCCTTTTCATCTCTAACAATAGCGGAGGGAAGTGAATTTTAGTTGTTGCATTTTTATGATCTCCTTCAGACTTTCCTCAGCTTGGCAAAGTAGTAATTTCACATTCACTGTGTACACAAATGTCTTTAATGTCTTGGGCTTAAGCCTGATAGATGGGCTCATTTTGAGGGCTTATAACTATTTAAGAGAGACCTAGAGCAAACAGTGCAGCAAGAATTCCATATTCAAACCTTCTGTGCCCTGTAGTGCTCCAGTTTGCTATAAACTGCTACAATTTTCGAAGTCTACATTAGATGAATGTCTATGTAGTAACTCATTCATAATTCTCTACATTGTTGTGTCACACTTCCCACATCCTTTATAGTTTTATGACAATAGTTCAATTTTCTGCTCATCATGGCTGTGGAGAATTTGGATGCTGATATTTCTAATATTGAATGTTGTCGGCAAGCCTATGAGATTCCAGGCACTCCATCGGTGCCATTCCCATGGGCTTTCAGAAACTGTTCACATTTATATTCTTTAGATTTGTGGTAGAAGCTTTCTCCTTCATCTTTGTGTACTATTTGCTTTGCATTTGGAGATTAAACTAGAATGTCTGCAGGACTGCATGCACTCCTACAGTACTATATAATCACATTTCCTATTTCAATATCATATAAGAGCATAGGATTCACCGTAACAGACCTTTGCTCTGTGTCTGCTCCTGAATCTGGCTTCCAAGACTGATAGATACTTGATGTTTCAAAGTGGTGTGATGTATCTTTTTTCTATTAATGATTTTCCTATTGTTACCTCTGCCCCTGCTTGTCTCCCAGTTTGCCTTCTAATTAGCACGGCTAGGAACACCGTGTCCTGAAGGCTCCTGACAAAAGCTGTTTTGTTCAAAACACATTGATCCAGTTCAATGAGTGACTACCAGAAAGCACTTGGGGCAAAATAACCACTAGGGAATGTCACCTGATTCAGCCACCAGTGGATATGGTCTGCCATGTCTAAGAGGAAAGGAATTATTTATAATAGAAAGCTACCCGTGATTCTTTATAAAGGAGAAGGAGAAAAAATATTGCCCTGGTGAAACTGGAAAGGGCTTGTTTGATGTGTAGCCTCCCATTAGAATTGTGAAACACGTGATTCTAGCCATGTTGTACAAAGGACACATCTCTCAGGCATGTTTAGATTTTAGTGCAGTGTTGGCACCACTAAGGGGAATTCTGGGCTGGCTTTCTTGGTAACCCAGCACTGTCCTCAGAGTATGATCTGATTTAAGAGTGTGTGCAAATATTATGCTTATAATTTAATGTACTTGCTAAACCTTGGGGGACAGGTCTTTGCAACTGGGTTCCTATTCAAGCAATTTATTTAATATATAAAAAGAGTATTTACCTTTTTAATTCATTTTTGGATGCTTGGTTATTAATGAACACAACAAGCATCAGCTCAAAGGCTATAAGAAAAGCTGCGGTACTAAAGATCTTTTAGCACTTCTGAGAACTGTGGAAAGTTTACGCCTTTTTGATTTGGTATCAAATAAGCTAAATGACTGTCCTTTTTCTGAATAATTTCAGTGGTTGGGCTTTTTTCAAGGTGGCCCTGAATAGCATCTTTCTCATTATGCTGGCCTGCATAATCTGGGCACAGATCTGCAAATCTGCAACTTCTCAAACTGAAAAATAAGAACCCCTGATATTTATAACAAACACAATAACCCTCCTCCCACAAAACACAACTTTCTTCCCATGCTGGATTTATATATCCTTTCTTAGGACTATTCTCCATTTCCTTGATTAAGATGTTAGCTTGGCTGTTAACAGATTTAAGATGCAGATCCCTGAAAACTAATGTATATAGTAGGAATGAAGGGACCAATTATCACTAGTTTAATACTGCATCAAGGCCTAGTCTTCAAATAGGGGTGTGCAAAGATGCACGCACTGCCTTGTATGAAGGCAGACCCCAATTTATGTTTACATAAAATGGTCTGTGCATGTCTACATCTGGAATATGAAGCAGTGTAAATGCATCTTTGCCCATGTGGACTTGAAGGCCAAATAACCACATTACACTTTTTCCAGTTTAGGTAGTCAGAAACTGGTCAACAGCCATAACAGAACAGAAGTTGGAGCACATAAACTGCTTTAAAAATGGCAGATCCTGGTCTAAGATAGGTCTGGATGTAGTATCAGACTGACTAGATCTCAGCTAGACTGATGAATTGAATATCAGTCCACTCATGAATCAAGATAGGTTTCTGTCTGCTGGCATCCTGGGGCCATTGTGGGCTCCCCACTAACCCCCTATCTCAGGAAGCACTGGCTTGGCTCCTCCAGCTGAGTGCAGGCCCTGCCATCAGGCTTTCTAGCTGTCAGCCACAGGCAGGACAGAGGCAGGAGTGGGGAGCAGGGCTCATGAGCTGCTGGTGGGGGCAGTGCCAGTGGCACATCCTGCATTCCCAGCTTGGGTTGGCAGGGCACTGAGTGTCCCTCCCTTGTCCCAGTTTAGTTCAAGTCCTGGGACTGTGTGCTGGAGCTGCTCTGGTAAGGGCTCACAGGATTTCCTCCCTGGAGCCAGCACCAAGTTGTGGGCTGAAACTGCTTCCCATGCAGCTGCAGAGCTCCAGTCCCTGGGGTGGGGGTAGGGGGCAGCCATGCCTTTACAGCTGCAAGGAACCCTGTGGCCCCCACCCCAGACAAAGCCCATGGATCCTTCTGCAGCCCTGTGTTGGGGTGAGCATGCCTCCTTCCACTAGCTGCATGCAGTTGACCACTGTCTGAACGATGAGAGGGCAGCGGTGGGAGACAGGTGGCTGGCAGACAGTCAGGAATGGTGCAGCCATTTGGCTGCAATCAGTTGCCTTTGGCCATCTCTGCCATGCTGGGAGGTGTGTGGGAACACCCCCTGCCTTCTAGCCTCTGCAAGTGCAGGCTTCTGTGTGCCATCTGCTACCGAAGGGCAAGCATGACTCCAGTTCACTCCTGATCCAATCTATGCAGCTTAGAGAAACTCATGTAGATTGGCTTGATTCTGCCTCAGGCTTTTGGAAGCCTGTACTTAGCCAAAGATCTTGGGCCCAGATTATAACATGATGTATTTTCTCTCTCTTTTTATGATCTTCAAAAATGGGGTATTAGTTAGTTCAGTATTAATATTATAAACTGTTTTTTCTTAAGATTACATCTAGAAAAGGTGTGCTGTCTAATTCTGTCCCAGGTTGTTGCAAGTTAATATAACAAAATGTAATCTCAAAGACATTAAGCATAATTGTATTATATCCAAAATATTATGCTAACATATAGCTGTTGTAGTTCATAAATTAAAAAAACCCAAACATATTAGAAATTATTATACATTTAACCAATTTTATAATCCTCTATAAAAAATTAGGGTTTTATAAACCTCTGCACCATGGTCTCATAATAGATGTGCATATCACTTGTTTTCCACTGTCCTTCAATCTGACATAAAATAAGACAGCTATTAACAAATCATAAAATAGATCTGAACCAAATGAAATGAACTGATTGTATGCGGGACCAAGTGATAACAAGTGTAAGAGATTTTAAAAAATACAAACAAAAATTTAACACGTTGTTATGTAATATTTGATTTTGGCTGAAGCTCTAAGCAAGACCTACTTTCTCATAGTACTTGATCTCATAGTCCAGAATGGCTCCACTGGGAAAGTCAGGCTCTTGCCACGAGAGGGCAATGCTGTTCTGGGAAGCCCAGTCCTTCCTTACCATCCCAATCAAGGAGGGTGCTGAAAGGGAAAAGGATAACTAAGGGTTAAAGACAAAGTATACTGTTTATCCTTTTACTTTACTACACTTTGAGGTACTTTATGTAACCTAATGGCAGAAAAGCATGAGATGACAATTCCCTGTGAAACGTGGAGTTAATGTTTAAAGTACACATCCAAAATTTTATTGGCAGAAGGCAGGGCAGGGTGGCACTTTATGGAACAACTCATTCAGAGATGCATGCGATTTTTGTTGTTGTGAACTACAGCCTGCTTTGCAAGATGCTGTGAAAGGATGTGCATTGCTAACGTGAGGATCTGCTTTTGAAAAGGGACTCTAAAACTCTACCACTTTGTCAAACTATCTGTTTCCTGACTATATTCAGTCAAGTATGTTGACTTGGACAAAAAGAGGCTGTTTGTACAACAGAACCAATGGCAGATTCTCTCCTTTGCTGAAATTTTATCAACAGAATTCTTAGGTTGCAATCAGTGACAGCTCTGCAAATCTATTTAAGATGTTACTGGGAATGTCTATATGAGCTGCTTACTGCACAGTAGCCTAATAACACTGTACAGTAGTGTGCCAGGCAAAAACAAGGGTAATATGCTATGTGCAGTAGTATTAGGATACTGTGGAGGAAGCATCACTAAAAACCTGTGCACTCTAGTAACTCTAGTTACTGTGCATTTAGTTAGTACTTCATTAAGCAAGTACTAAATTAAATGCATAGTAACTACTGACCATTAACGGACATGTAGATGCGCCCACTGAGCACATATTTTGAGGGAAAGGAGGTTGTGCCATTGTCATGAATGACATAGTTTCAGCTGCAAAGAGCAGCTGAAGTTAAGAAACAAAAAAATATTAACTCAGCAAAAGCCAAATTAAAGACAGCTGGTATGTCCAGGGATGGATTCAGAGGGGGGTGAAATGGCAGTCACACCCCTGCTTTTTGACCATGCCACAGGAGCAGCAGCTGTGGACTTTTTAAAGTCCCCCAAGCAGATCAGAATTCGTCTCCCTGTCTTCCCGTTTGTGTTCAGAGGTACGTCCCACCCCCTCTCCTTCTTTTCTCCCTTCCCACCCCCTCTCTCCCACCCACTGCTGCTTCTGTCCCCACTGTCCCAGGGTGACAGAAACTCCAGAGCTACTTCTGCCCAGTTCTACCTGGGCTCCATAGAGGCCAGGCTTAGCCAGGGATAGTAGTGGTGGCATGTAGTCCATGCCCAGTCTCTGGGTGTTCCCAGCTAGCCCAGAAGCAGGTGCTGGGAGAGGAAACTCCTCTTACCATCACTGGCTGTCCCAGGCTGAGGCTGGCCCGTGTGCAGCCCAGGTGGAGCTGGGCAGAAGCAGTTCTAGATCTCCTCTCAGGCTCTGGGACACCAGGGATAGGGGCAGCAGCAGACAGGGTAGGGGGAAAGGGGAGGGGAGGAGAGGAGAGAGGTGTGCCTCTGAGCAGGGAGGGGAAGGGAAGGTGGAATTCTTTACCTGCTTGTGGGGACTTAATAAAGTTCCCATCTGCTGCTTTTATGGTGCAGTCTGCCCACCCTGATGCAGGAAGTGGGGGGTGCAGCCACCCCGGCTGTGCTAGTCACAGCTCCCACTTTTCCTCTTGTGAAATCCTGGATCCATTTGTGGGCACATCCAGTTTGCCATTTTTATTTGATTTACCATGTGGGCCAAAATAAACAGATAGAAATAAGAATGTAATGATTTCCTATTTTTGTAAGCTGAGGCACTAAAATTAAAACCAAAAGGGTACTCCTTAATAGGCAATTGAAATAAAGCTATCCATAGAAAAGCCAAGTATTATAATATAGTTCTAAGCACTTTTCCTCTCTATAACTAGAACACAAATTACTCTACATTACTTGATCAGAATTTTATCTCTCTCTCTCTCACTGTGTGTGTGTGTGTGTTTAGGAACTAGATTTTTTATTTTAGAATAGATTATGTATAGTGTGGACAGCACAGGAGTCTGGAACCACCCTAGTGCAGACCCCAGGTGATTCTCTTGAGTCTTTTGGGGTGCAGACAGAAGTTATATTTTTTTGCACAATCAGGCCCCTGAAAGTGCTCTACACACATGCATGGCTGCAGAGCGCCTTTGAAGGGGCCAAGTGTGTGAAAAATTAAAGTGCACTTTACCATTTCCTGACTTGCAGAAAAAATCATGGTATACAAAGTAGTCTGTGTAAAACTGAAATGTAGCTACATTCACAAGCTAATACCAAATGTAGACAGCAGTTTGCAAATCAATTGACATACATCTATCAAAACATTTTTTGAACAACAAAATATATTGATATGCCTCTGAAAATGAGGAAACTTACAACTACATTTCAAGCAGCAACCCTGAGCTCTGTCTTTTATCCATATCCATTTCCTGTTGATGGTTCTAGTTATAACATAAAGGCCTTCAACTAATGCACACAGCTTCAACTGATATGGGAAGATCTCAGGCCAGTATTAAGAGGGTGCCTATAATGATTTTTTGCAGGAAACAGGGTTGTGACTTTTTTCCCGACATATATCTATATTGTTGAGGAAAATATTTTCCTAGGAAAAAGAAAATATTTTATAAAATAGTGGGGGAGAAAAATAAAGGAGGAATAAAACAGAACACTTGCTATGTGATTCACTTTATAAGTATTTTTATGCTCATATATAAAGGCACACTTGTTCTCCAGATAAGGTATGCAAATCAGATACAAACAACTTTTGGGTTTTTGTTTGCTTACTAGTTGGAGCCCACCATTGGTCTGAATGTGACCCAAGATACTCACACACTTCTACCAACTTTTGAAATGTTGAGAAAGCACTGAGAATCCATTTTTGGAAAATCAGGCCCTTTAAGGTGTCTCAAGAAAAGCCCTAAAAAATTCAGGCACCCCAAATCACTAGTCATTTTTGAAAACATAGACCCTAGCGTATGTCAGAGTTTCAACCAAACCATGCAAAAAACACTTAATTGTCAATGAGGTGGCTGATCAGGAGGATGAAGTCCTACAATTAATTGACAATACCAAATTCCATGATTCCAGAATCTAGGACCAGCTCTGGTGCAGTACTGGGACAGGGGCCCACAATCAACTGATTTTCAGCCCCAGGACTGCATTGAAGCTGATTGTGGGTCCCATTCCTGGGATAGCACAGGAGTCTGAAACTGCCCTAGTTGAGACCCCAGGTGACTCTCTTGAGTCTTCTGGGGTGCAGACAGAAGTTACATTGTTTTGCACAATTAGGCCCCTGAAAGTGCTCTACACCTGTGCATGGCTGCAGAGCGCCTCTGAAGGGCCCAATTGTGTGAAAAATTAACCCTCCTCAAATGAGGTATCAGATGAAAGTGCTCTGCTTAAACGCACCTTAGGGAACATGTCTTCCTTCTCTAGGGTTAATTTTTTGCATGATCAGAGTTGGGCTGATGCAGCTCAGCCCCACCCCTGGGGCTGTCATCAGGGAAGGAGCAGGGAGATGCTACTTTTATGAGCTGCCAGCTTGCCCAGCCTGAGCTGGAGGGGGCATGGATTGGAGTCCCTCCACCTCATGGACCTCTCCAACCCCCCAGCTGAGGTACTGAGGGGACCCAGGCAAGGCCCATGAGGAAAGGGTGGCTCTAATCTAGGCCCCTCTTCCAGCTCAGGCCAGGCAAGCTGGCAGCTCATGAAAGGAGCAGCTCACTGTTACTAGCTTGTCCCTCCCTCCTCCCCACTCCCTCCCTGCTGACAGCCCCAGGGGGCATGGCTAGGGAGAGCAGTGACTTCTTGGCTCACTAGGTCAGCTTGTGCCTCCCCTCCCAACAAGTGGAGGGGTGCTCAAACTGATGGTGCTTTATGTTAAGTGCCGTGAGTTAGAATGGAGGCCTGAATGTCAGCACTCTAAGAGTCTTCTTAGGAAAGTAAGAGACTCAAACATGGCTCTCCTCCTCTTCTTAAATTTGGCTTATTTGGCTATGCCTTTTTTGATTTTTTGCCATTTGATCAAAATTCTTAATGACTTCCTACGTGCAACCTATGTTTGATTTTTATTTGGTTTCAGCCTTCCAAGTTCATATAGCAGTTGTTCATCAGTTCAACCTCAGCCCTCTGAACTACCTCCTATGTTCCAACAAGTGCCTGTCAAACTACAGTCATGGCACAAGAGATTATCACCTCAAATGTTCAATGTCAGAAGCCGTCTATCCCTTCTGTCTTTGAAATAACTTAAAAGTAAAATAACAAAACAAAATTACTTTGCTCCCTCACAAATCAGGAACCCTTGCCCTGTACTTGACACTTTGAAAATATGATACCTTGGGCAATGGAACTTACACAATGTTGATCTGAGTTGCAACTAATATTTTGTCTTCCAAATCAATATTGGAATGTATACCCAAAGGGGTACTTCTTGCTTGAATCAGGGCACTGAGCCCCAAACAAGTTTGTTTCCCAAATTTCTATAGTTGGGAAAAACAAACACATATACTATATTATTAGCTGTCTACATTATGTTCAGAGAGCTAACACTGCTGTTTATCATATACATAATCATCATGTCTCAGGGAAAACAATGATTCAGACAAGAAAGGGCACTCACAGTTATACAATCATGCTACAAAAAAGAATAATTAAGAAAAAATGTTTTCAGCTCAATTACCATTTCTTCAACTGTGTCTTGTGGACAGCTTCCAAACCACTTTCTATAAGAAGGGACCCTACTTATTGTAGGGGTTACTCCCCATTAGAGTAGCTGAAGCAGAAGTATATTACACCCTGAAGTAGTAAGTAGATGTTTATCCTTTATCTGGGAAATTTAAGGGTAGGTAAATTCTGCTGGCCCATTTATAACTTTCTTTAATTTACCTGTGTTTTTCTGCCTTTTGTAATAAAATTCTTGAATTGTAGTGAGTGATCCTCAGTGCTGCTAACCTCCTGTTAACACATATATGATAGATTTTTGTGGGGAGTTTTTTTATTTTATTTTGTGTGCCAAAATAAGTGAGGCTAATTTTACGATAATGCAAGAAGAATATTAAGCA